CCCTTGATCATTATGTAGTGTCCTTCTTTGTCTCTTGTAATAGTCTTTATTTTAAAGTCTATTTTGTCTGATATAAGAATTGCTACTCCAGTTTCTTTCGATTTCCATTTGCATGAAATATCTTTTTCCATCCCCTTACTTTCAGTCTGTATGTGTCTCTAGGTCTGAAGTGGGTCTCCTGTAGACAGCAAATATATGAGTCTTGTTTTTGTATCCATTCAGCCAATCTGTGTCTTTTGGTGGGAGCATTTAGTCCATTTACATTTAAGGTAATTATCAATATGTATGTTCCTATTCCCATTTTCTTAATTGTTTTGGGTTCGTTATTGTAGGTCTTTTCCTTCTCTTGTGTTTCTTGCCTAGAGAAGTTCCTTTAGCAGTTGTTGTAAAGCTGGTTTGGTGGTGCTGAACTCTCAGATTTTGCTTGTCTGTAAAGCCTTTAATTTCTCCATGAAATCTGAATGAGATCCTTGCTGGGTAGAGTAATCTTGGTTGCAGGTTTTTCTCCTTCGTCACTTTAAATATGTCCTGCCAGCCCCTTCTGGCTTTCAGAGTTTCTGCTGAAAGATCAGCTGTTAACGTTATGGGGATTCCCTTGTGTGTTATTTGTTGTTTTTCCTTTGCTGCTTTTAATATGTTTTCTTTGTATTTAATTTTTGACAGTTTGATTAATATGTCTTGGCATATTTCTCCTTGGATTTATCCTGTACGGGACTCTCTGTGCTTCCTGGACTTGATTATTTCCTTTCTCTTATTAGGGAAGTTTTCAACTATAATCTCTTCAAATATTTTCTCAGTCCCTTTCTTTTTCTCTTCTTCTTCTGGAACCCCTATAATTCAAATGTTGGTGTGTTTAATGTTGTCCCAGAGGTCTCTGAGACTCCTCAGTTCTTTTTTCTTTTTTCTGCTCTGCAGTAGTTATTTCCACTATTTTATAGCCCAGGTCACTTATCCATTCTTCTGCCTCAGTCATTCTGCTATTGATCCCATCTAGAGTATTTTTAATTTCATTTATTGTGTTGTTCATCGTTGCTTGTTTCATCTTTAGTTTTTCTAGGTCCTTGTTAATGTTTCTTGCATTTTGTCCATTCTATTTCCAAGATTTTGAATCATCTTTACTATCATTATTCTGAATTATTTTTCAGGTAGACTGTCTATTTCCTCTTCATTTGTTAGGTCTAGTGGGTTTTTATCTTGCTCCTTCATCTGCTGTGTGTTTTTCTGTCTTCTCATTTTGCTTATCTTACTGTGTTTGGGGTCTCCTTTTTGCAGGCGGCAGGTTCGTAGTTCCCGTTGTTTTTGGTGTCTCTCCCCAGTGGCTAAGGTTGGTTCAGTGGGTTGTGTAGGCTTCCTGGTGGAGGGGACTAGTGCCTGTGTTCTGGTGGATGAGGCTGGATCTTGTCTTTCTGGTGGGCAGGTCCACGTCTGGTGGTGTGTTTTGGGGTGTCTGTGGACTTATTATGATTTTAGGTAGCCTCTCTGCTAATGGGTTGGGTTGTGTTCCTGTTTTGCTAGTTGTTTGGCATAGGATGTCCAGCACTGTGGCTTGCTGGTCATTGAGTGAAGCTGGGTGCTGGTGTTGAGATGGAGATCTCTGGGAAATTTTCGCCGTTTGATATTATGTGGAGCTGCGAGGTCTCTTGTGGACCAGTGTCCTGAAGTTGGCTCTCCCACCTCAGAGGCAGAGCCCTGACTCCTGGCTGGAGCACCAAGAGCCTTTCATCCACACGGCTCAGAATAAAAGGGAGAAAAAGTAGAAAGAAAGAAGTAGTAGAAGTAGAAAGAAAGAAAGAGAGGAAGAAAGAAAGAAAGAAAGAAATGAGGGAGGGAGGAATGAAGGAAGGAAGGAGGGAAGGAAGGAAAAAAAGAAAGAAAGAAGATAAAGTAAAATAAAATAAAGTAAGATAAAATATAATAAATTATTAAAATCAAAAATAATTAAGAAAAAAAAGAAAAAAATTAAAAAAACAAACAACAACAAAAAACGGACGGATAGAACCCTAGTACAAATGGTGGAAGCAAAGCTGTGCAGACAAAAATCTCACACAGAAGCATACACATACACACTCACAAAAAGAGGAAAAGGGGAAAAAATCATAAACCTTGCTCTCACAGCCCACCTCCTCAATTTGGGATGATTCGTTGTATATTCATATATTCCACAGATGCAGCGTACATCAAGTTGATTGTGGAGCTTTATCCGCTGCTTCTGAGGCTGCTGGGAGAGATTTCCCTTTCTCTTCTTTGTTCTCACAGCTGCCGGGGCTCAGCTTTGGATTTGGCCCCGCCTCTGCGTGTAGGTCGCTGGAGGGCATCTGTTCTTTGCTCAGACAGGACGGGGTTAAAGGAGCAGCGGCTTAGGAGGCTCTGGCTCACGCAGGTCGGGGGCGGGGGGGAGGGAGGGGCACAGAGTGCGGGGCGGGCCTGCGGCAGAGGCCGGCGTGACGTTGAACCAGCCTGAGGCGCGCCGTGCGTTCTCCAGGAGGAGTTGACCCTGGATCCCGGGAAGCTGGCAGTGGCAAGCTGCACAGGCTCCCCGGAAGGGGGGGTGTGGATAGTGACCTGTGCTCGCACACAGGCTTCTTGGTGGCGGCAGCAGCAGCCTTAGCGTCTCATGCCCGTTTCTGGGGTTTGCGCTTTTAGCCGCGGCTCGCGCCCGTCTCTGGAATTCCTTTAAGCAGCGCTCTTAATCCCCTCTCCTCGCGTACCAGGAAACAAAGAGGTAAGAAAAAGTCTCTTGCCTCTTCGGCAGGTCCAGACTTTTCCCTGGACTCCCTCCCGGCTAGCTGTGGCGCACTAGCCCCCTTCAGGCTGTGTTCACGCCGCCAACCCCAGTCCTCTCCCGGCGCTGCGACGGAAGCCGAGCCTCAACTCCCAGCCCCGCCCGCCCCGGCGGGGGAGCAGACAAGCCTCTCTCTGGCTGGTGAGTGCCGGTTGGCACCGATCCTCTGTGCGGGGAATCTCTCTGCTTTTCCCTCCGCACCCGTGTTGCTGCGCTCTCCTCCGCGGCCCCGAAGCTTTCCCCCTCCGCCACCCGCAGTCTCCGCCCGCGAAGGGGCTTCCTAGTGTGTGGGAAACCTTTCCTCCTTCACAGCTTCCTCCCACTGGTGCAGGTCCCGTCCCTATCCTTTTGTCTCTGTTTATTCTTTTTTCTTTTGCCCTACCCAGGTACGTGGGGGGTTTCTTGCCTTTTGGGAGGTCCGAGGTCTTCTGCCAGCGTTCAGTAGGTGTTCTGTAGGAGTTGTTCCACCTGTAGATGTATTTCTGGTGTATCTGTGGGGAGGAAGGTGATCTCCGCGTCTTACTCTTCCGCCATATTCCCGGAGGTCCCCCAGACTTAATATTTTAAAATGAAAGGAAGAAAGAAAGAAAGGAAAGAAAGGAAGGAAGGAAGGGAAAGAAAGAAAAAGGAAGGAAGGAAGGAAAAAAGGAAGGAGGGAAGGAGGGAAGGAGGGAAGGAAGGAAGGAATAATTTAGAGAATGCCCAGTTTGTCTCTAAAAATCCCAGGGAGGCTGAATTATTTCCTTCCAAAGTCGCACAGGTAATTTGGCATAGTTGAATTGTGATTCAGCTGGTTTCTGATTTCTAATAGAGTAATTTTCCACTATCATTTCTTTTATCATTATTAATCATTTTTGTGGAATGCCTACAATTTGCCTGATGCAATGCTAAGTGTTGGGAATATAAAGATGAGTAAATTATCTTATTTTATGATCAAATCCCCTGCCTGATTAACTGAGAGCTTTCCATCCTGCAAAGTGAAGACCAGCTAATCAAGGCAAATGTCTAATATGCTAGTTCCCCATCCTCTGTGATATAACATATTACTGGATACAGTAGAATGCTTGCAAAGATGGCTAATTCTCCAACTCTCCCCATATCCACTTCCTTCACTGTGTGATTTCCAGCTGATCATATCAAAAGGTGGCATTTCTTTCCCTAGTCCCTGATTTCAGGCTGGTCTTTGTGACTTGCTTTGGCTAACAGAATGCAGTGGAAGGAACAAAGTTCTAGTTCTAAGTCCTGGCCTCAGGAGGCCATGCCCACTTTTGTTTCTCAGACCCCTGCCGCTGCCATAAAGAACAAGCCTGGGATAGCCTCCTGGAAGGTTAAGCATCACAAGGAGTGACTAATTGCCCCAGCTGAGGCCAATCTAGACCAGTCTACAGCAAGTCATCCCACAGATACATGTGAGAGCTCTACCAGGGGCAACAGAGTTTCTCACGGAGTCCACCGCTAACCACAGATGCACAAGTGAACTCAGCTGAGACCAGGAGGACTGCCCAGTTCATCCATAAACTTCTGAGCAATAAGAAGCACTTATTAAAGCTACTTAGTTTGGGGGTGTTTTGTTATGCAGCATAGTTAAGTGGTGTGATGGCCTTCTAGACACCGAGCTTTGATTCAGATAAATGGTTCTAGTTTGGGTTCTTCCTGGAAGACATTAGGTAAGATATTATGGGAGAGGTATGAACTTTGCTACCTCTTTCATATTTTTGAGCTGACTTTCATTTACAAAGAGGGAGGAACTTAGCTTGAATTATGTTTTATTTACCGATAAAAGAAAAATATGCATGATGATGACAGGAAAAGCTAAGTTGAGAGACTGAAGCTCAAGGTAACATACATGCATATTCCTTTTCTAAAGGAAGCCTAAAGGACAGAGACAAGATCAGGAATCAGAAAGGACTGTTCCCGTCCTGCTTTTGCCATGTGTGTATGTATGTTATCTTGAACTTCTGTTTCCTTTGTAGTAACCAGGTCTAACTATAGCTGCCTGCCTTCCTTCAAATGTGGCCATGTGTTACTCAAATTATTTTATTCTATTTTCACATAATGGTATCTAGTAATTATTGAGAAGTCATAATTCCCTCTATAAGTATAATAATAACTACCATATATACACTTTATAGTTTTCAAATTGCCTTTATGTAAATTATCTCACTTTGATTCTCCAATGATGCCTTGAAATACTGACCTTTATTTTCTTATTTTGCAGAAGAGGAACCTCTGCTGTCTTCTAAATGGTGGTATTTCTAAGAAATGTCTGAGATTATGACAGACTTGCCAAGACAAGAACCCCACCATTTTGGAGCTTTTTTTTAAAGAACCAAACCTGGTGAGTAGATCAGATCTCTGGCTTTTATTATCAAATAGATACCTTACTTCTTGTTGCCAGTTTTTTTCGTAACAGCTCTTATCTATGAGGTGCCATTGGTTTTTTCCCCCAAGACATTTTTAAAATGGGAGAAAGGTAATGGTTACTCTGAAATTGCATCTTGGTCTAGTATTTATATTCTTAAGCCATCAGATTGTCTATTTAATGATGTTGATAGACTACACATATAGTTAAATTATTATCATCAGTGCTTGAGCCATGAATTTTTATTTTTGGTTATGTAGTTGAGTTGGTTGATAATGTAGGTTCTGGGCTCAGGAAGTTTCTATCTGAATATGTATAATGGCCTAAGTATCTTGTGAATATTGCCTGGCCCCTGACCAATGATTTAAGTTTCATCCATGGTTATGAGTCTTACAAGGCAGAGCTATTTCCTCTGTTCTACTTAATTTTAAGTGTTATACTTATTTTGACCATCTCCTATAAGTTTCGAGTACCACGTTTTGATAGTATGAAGGAGAGTGGCTATTGTGACACTATAATAGCTGCAATTTATTGAGAGCTTACTATGTGAGAGCCAACACTCTGTTTTACTTAGTTTAACTCAGCTAGTTCCCACAACAGCCCATTGAGATGAGATGTGTTATTATCCCCATTTTACAGACAAGGGAAATGAAGCACAGGAAGATTAAGTAAATTGCCCAAAGTCACACAGCTAATAGGTGATAGAGCTGGACTTTTAGCTCCGACCACTTGAGTAGGAAATTCCCGTACCATATACTGCTATATTTCTTGTGCTATGAGATTTTCTTTAAATCAGACACCAAGAAAAATGATGTGTATCAGTCTAGCCATTGCAGTGCTACATCACCACAAATTGTATGTGTTCACAAGCAATCTAGGTACTATGAACTCCCTTGCAGAAATCTCCCAGTAATCAACCTCCAGTAGGGCATTTCCCTGTGTGCTAGACATGCAGAAGATGTAAAAGAGGTAGAAGAAATTCTCCCTCCAATGGACCTGAGGATTTATGGGAGAAAATGATCGTTTTGGAGCGTTGGGAGGATAGAGTTGATTGTATAAGGTCTGAAGGTCATAGTGGGGAGGCAATGGATAGTGGTCCTTGAAATGACTTCATTTCCAGACACTGTCATCAGATTTTAGGTCGGTCTGCCAGTCTTTCAAACGTGGGCAGGCTTGCCTCTAACCCCAGTTCCTCAAATTGAGAAAGCACTAGGCCATGCCAGAATTTTTTCTCACAGATCTACTGACCACATCTTGTGGTTTCTTTTTACTTCCATGTCAACCCAGATGTAGAAGTCAAACTCTTAAAATATTTCCACCAGAAAGTCAATCCATACCAGTTATGGGTTGAATTGTATACTGCAAAAGTTCATATGTTAAAGTCCTAACCCACAGTACCTCAGAATGTGGCGTTATTTGGAAATCGAGCTGTTACAAATGCAGTTAAGTTAAGATGCAGTCATACAGGAATGGGGTGAGCCCTTCATCCAGTATAACTGGCGTCCTTATAAGAAGAGGAAATATGGACACAGATACAGACACAAGGAGAACTCTTTGTGAAGATGAAGGCACAGATCATGGTGAGGCTTCTGTACACCAAGAAACACCAATGTTTGCCAGAAGCTCGGGGAAGAGGCATGGAACAGATCCTTTCTGCAGAGCCAGAAGGAAACCTTACTGACACCTTGATTTTGGACATCTAGCCTCCAGAACTGTGACAATGAATTTCTGTTCTTTATCTAGTCAGTTTGTGGTACTTTGTTATGGCAGCTGTAGTAAATGAATACACTACCAAACATGTCCTGAGTTGGGTAGATTTTACTGAAGATATTTGGAGGGAGGCATGTCACAGGGAGGGATCACATCACACAGCCCACAGCATCCCCCCAATTAAATTGCCTCATCTCTCCCTGCACTCTATTTCCTCCCATCTCCCCCATTCTGGGTTAATCTCTAACCCAGATACTCAGCTACAAATCTGTCTTGCTATTTTTTTCGGAGCAGCTTTTCCCTGCCTCTGAAGTTATGGCAGCAACCAACGTCTCTAGCTCCTAGGGCTCAGCTTCTAGCCCAACCATTAATCAAGGTACACGTCAAACACAAGCAGTCCATTCACATAGAGGAATTCCTGAGCCAAATATTACAGTAAGAACATTTTCTAGATGTTTCTAGGTGGCGAGGTTTCACATCTGGCTCTGCTACTTACTAGATGTGTGAACTTGAACAAATTACTTCACCTCTCTAAAATGAGAATAATAATAATAATAATCCACCGGGTCTGTCTTAAATTTTGTACCCCCTCAAACACGCTCTGAGGCAGCTATCTGTGAGAGATGATGCACTGGGGAAGGTTCCCGGGAGTAGCATTGTAAGGGAGTGAGAGGGGCAGGAAGGGGCCTAGTGAGAAGTTGACCTGTGATGCGGGTACCGTTGGGGCCTCAGCCCTTCCCTCGGGGATCTGTGGGGCTGGATGGCCCTTCAGAGTGGCCTCGTATTAAGGCAAGGGGGCTGAGACTTTGTCCCCTCTCACCCATGCCAACTAGTTACTGGAAGTGGGCTCCCCCCAGCCAGGGGTCATAACCTTTGGTGAGGTAGTGCCCTTTGGCTGAAAGCAATTTCTTGAGAGCAACTTGGCTCTGAGTGGTCAGTCACCAGCACTGCCGTGGTAGCTGGGGAATGAAGTGACTTGGCTGCTTGTCTGTCCTGCAGGCAGTTTCTAGGTGACACATTAAGCATTTACAACAGGGTGATTGTGAGCATGAAATAAGTTAACACAAAAACACGACTTGGAACAGTACCTGGTGTGTGATAAGTGCTGTGTGAATGACAGCCATCATACACTCAAGGTCCACCTTAGCACTTTTTAGTGTGATGTCGTTACATACAGTTCACAGGATGGCTTCATATAGATTTTGATTCTCATGCAGGTGCTTATAGAGGTAAGTGAAGCAGACATTTCATCTAAAGTGCTTTCTATGAGGAAACTAAGGCTCAGAGCAGTTAAATGACTTGACTGGTGCCACTGTTAGCAGGACACTTGTCCTTCCCTGTTTTTAGTTTCTTCCTCCCTATTTGCAATCATGGCTAATTTTTGAAGCCACAAGCGCCCATGTGTAGGCTCAGTCTCACCAACCCTAATCTTAGGACAGACTGTTAGAAGGATTTACAATTCCCTAGTCTAACACCAGGATTCAGCATTAATGATCTTGTGGCTGGCCTAGCCCTATCTTGAGCCATGATGACATTGCAAAGGTGCTCGATGGGGTGAATGCATTTCACCAGGGGAGGTTGACCATCTGGCTGTAAGAGCCCTTGTGTGGCAGTCTTTACCTTAGCAGATTCTCTGTATAATTGCGCATGTCTGGCCTTCCACTTCAAAGGCTTAATTTTATGTTGACTGATGGCAGAGAGAGCTTTCAGGGGAAGAGTACACTCAATAAATACAGCAAAGATTGGTATTTAAGCGAGAATCCTGTTTTTGTTTTTATTTTTTTAAGTTACCCAAAATACTTGAATCCCCAGAGCAACACATTTTTTGTTTTTTCTATAGGCAAAGTAATCAAACATTTGCTTGGCGAGCATAACATCACAGCAGAGAGAATTGGTTGATCTTAAGAAGAATACCTCAGCTAAGATATCTGGGGCACTTTTTCTCTTCTGTAGGAGTACTGGCCTTAATATTTTTGTCTGGTGACCAAAGGCTCCCTCACCCCTGCTTAGGGTTGTACATGCACTGCTAGTCTTTGTCTCTGGGAGCCTCAGTTTTTCGTGTTCCATGGTTGACCAACTCCCCTTTTAAGAATACCACATTAATAACTCTAGTGAGTTTACAGGGAAGGCTGACTCTAGCCAGATGGTGATTCTGACTCCTTGGAGGGATTTTGCATGTTGCCGTGTTTATTTCATAGCTTGACTCTCAGAGGGCAATACTATACCCCTTATTTAGAGGGGCAGCAGAGTAAGCAGAGTGTTTAGAATTCAGGGTCTGAAACTGGGTTGCCTGGGCTTACACCTCAGCTTGCCTTTTGCTAACAGTGTGACCTGGGACTAGTGGCTTTCACTGGATATGCCTCAGTTTCCTTATCTGCAAAGTGGAGGTGATAGTACAGATTTCTTAGGGTTGTTTAAGGATTTAATGAAGTAATTAATGTAAAGGACTTAGAATGGCTGGCCAAAAAAATTGCTAATGAAATCTTCATTAATTATATATATCTTACAAACTAATAAACAGAATGAACATTTATCAATTGCTTATATAATCCATGCACTGTTATAAGGCTTTAACTTGAATATCATTCAGTCAGATGGAAAACATTTTGAGTCTATTTTTAGTTTTTATAGTTAAGGAAATGGAGATAGAGAGGTTAGAAACCACAAAAAAGAGGTGGAACAGGTGACCTGGGGGAATCAAGATTTTTATCTCTATGTATTACCTACATGTTCAGTTCTTGCAAGTAAACTTCAACACTGCCCCACGTGCTAAAAGTTCTTTCTTTAGCACGGTAACTCAAAATAGTGCCCTACAATGCTTCTTTCAGTCTCACAGGGAAATACCTAGATCTTTCAGGTCACCAGGAAGCTGGACTTACCTACTGATCCATGCCCCTGTTTCTCCAGCTTGCTCATCACACTATCTGAGCAATACTGGATGTTTGGTCCCCCTTATCTCAGGCTACCCAACCTGCTAAGGCTCCTCTAACTCTGTGTCAAAGTCCCTCAATAGCAACTGCTGTGTAAGTCTTCACTGCTCCCTGGTGCAGTTCCTCAGGTACCATAGTCTACCTGCCCAACTGGACTTCCTTCGAACACAAGCAGTCAGGGTCCCCTCTCTGGGCCTCAGTACCTGCCTCTGCTGCCCTCCGAGGTGGGGATGGTCAAAGGTCTTGGTCTCCCTTGTATTGCCTGTTGGGTATCCTTAACCAGAGAAATCCCATATCAGTCTTGGAGTATAATTATAAGGGGTATAACTGGAATTG